ATGCTCATTAGTTTGTTTAAAATTACATAGAGATATGATTAATTTAGCAAACAAATGAAGGATTAGCTTGACTTGAGAAAGCTGGTTAATTAATTTAAGGAAATCCGCCATCTCATGCGATAACACTATTATTTGAACTTGAATTAAACTAGTGAAACAGTTGCATAATTCAGAATTAAATGAAATCCAAACTCTAGTTCTTTCTCATTCATAGTTTCTTTAACTTAGAATATTCTTTATTTTAATTTTCTTTAGTCGACTTAGTTTTCTTTTAAATAGTTTAGTTTTTCCCCATTAATTGGTTAATTCAACTTAAGTTATTTAATAGGGTCTTGGTAGTGTAGGATAGTCTTCGAGGGAACGATATCTTACTCATCTTATACTGCATAATCGATTAGGTTCACTTGCCTAAATTTAGTGCGTATTTGGTGCAACACACAACTCCAACAAAGAATTACGAGTTGACATAGTGCAAACAAAGGTTTACGAGCTCGCAGAGCCCCAAAAAGAATGACGAGCTGACAACATCCAATGAAGAACGACGAGTTGAGAAAGCTTAGATAAAGAATTACGAGTTGAGACCTTACATGAGTGGGCTCCCACAAAGAATTACAGCTAAGACCCTACATGGGTAGGCTCTCACAGAATTACAAGCTAAAATCCTAAATGGGTTAGCTCCAGATAATCCTGAATACTCTGACTTGATAGGTCCAGCAAAGAATTACAACCTTATAGAACAAGCTAAGACCTTACATGGGTAAACTCCTATGAAGAATTATGAGTTGAAACCCAACATGGGCGAGCTTCAATAGAAAATTTGAGCTGAAATGCTCCACGCACAAAGAATGCTCCACGCACAAAGCTCAAAGCTCCTAAAAATGATCAAGTAAATTCCTTCTCCAGCTTTATTTATGAGTGACTAGATTCTTTTTCCATCATTTGCTCCTAAGTCAAGGCAAGGAGAAGTTAACATTGTTCATCCATTAGCTATTGGCTTTTCAGTCTGTTTGCTTTACAAGTGCTTAGGCCCATCAGCTATTAGCTTCTCAGGTTCTAAGCTTTTCAGCTCCTTTGTCTATGAAAACTCATTCAATCATAACTCTATGGAGCACAACCCTCAAAGGGTTTGATTTCTATGTTGTGACTTGAGAGGCTAAGATTTTCATTTAAACATCCCAATGAGGGATCTCAAGGTAGACATCTCCAGCTACTAAGTTGGCATTCAATCTATCAGCTTTACAAGAGCTCATTTAGATCTTAGCTCTACAGAGCGTGATCTTCAAAGATTTGGGTTATACATGATGGCCCATCAGAAATATCTTCGGGTCATCGCTTTCAGGTCGTCAAGTTCCAAGACGACATTCTTTGTTATCCCTCATGACATCAAGTTCAAGCATGAAGACTTGAGAAATATCTTCCAGGTCGTCACTCCTAAACTTCCTAGTTTCAGGTCGTCACTCCTGAGCTTCCTGCTTTCAAGTCGTCACTCCTGAGCTTCCTGCTTTCAGGTCGTCACTCCTGAGCTTCCTGCTTTCAAGTCGTCACTCCTGAGCTTCCTGCTTTCAGGTCGTCACTCCTGAGCTTCCTGCTTTCAGGTCGTCACTCCTGAGCTTCCTGCTTTCAGGTCGTCACTCCTGAGCTTCCTGCTTCCAGGTCGTCACTCCTGAGCTTCCTGCTTCCAGGTCGT